GGTGCGTTGGTGTGCGCCCGGGATCCGAACCAGCGAACCCCAGGCCGCGGCAGCGGAGTGTGCACGCTGAATTGCTTGCGCCGCCAGGCCGGCCCTTAAAACCACTAATCTTTAAAAGCATGTTAGAACAATTCTAAGTACTCATACTAGTCCTATTTTCCTGGAATTAATCATCTAAAATGATTCTATTCTCTAAAACTTATCTGGAATTCTTGTGTCATGACTTTTAGACCTTATTAAAAATCTATTTAAATATCATTATTGTTGATCCATCTCCACACGTTGAGAATATATTCAATTTTTTTCAATATCTGAAAGTGAAACTAGAATAATGATCATACCAGGGAATATCACATCAGCACACATCCCACCAAAATAGAGCGACTATATATGGAGATAAGAATGGTTTTCTTGAGCTGATTAACTGCCCATGGAAAGCTCTTCAATCAACATGTATTTGTCCAATCCTGGTTGTGTTCCAGTCATTTTTCTAGGCACAGGTCACACTATACAAAATAAAAACAACCATGGTCTTTACTATTACAGCTTTACATTCCAGTAAGGAGGGATAATTAAATAAATAGTTAAAAAAAATATTTAAGGGGCCGGCCCAGTGGCATAGTGGTTAAATTTGCATGCTCTGCTTCAGCAGCCCAGGGTTTGCAGGTTTGAATCCCGGGTGTGGACCTACACACCGCTTATCAAGCCATGCTGTGGCAGCATCCCACATATAACGCAGAGGAAGATGGGCATGGATGTTAGCCCAGGGCCAATCTTCCTCAGGAAAAAGAGGAGGACTGGCAATAGATATTAGCTCAGAGCTAATCTTCCTCTCACACACACACACAAATATATTTAAGATAATCTCCATCAACCATAGCGTGGAAAAAGCAATCTAGTAAAAGAATAACAAAATGGAAGGATTTACACTTCTGACTTCAAGACTTACTGTAAAGCTACAATAATCTAAACAGTGTGGTGTTGTCATAGAACTGCCAGTATTTCAGTAGAAGAGAGTAGAAAGCCCAGATACAGACCACACCTAAACACTCATTTGGTTTTTAAGAAAGGTACTGAAGCAATGAAGTTGAGAAAGGAAAGTCATTTCAAGAAAAAATAGTCTGAATAACTAGATGTGCACTTGAAAAAAATGAACCTTGACCCTTATTTCACATCATACAGAAAAATTAAGAGAGATCACAGACCTTAATATAACAGTTAAAACCATAAATCTTTTAAAAAGTGTAACTTGGGAGTAGGCAAAGTTTCTTAGGACACAGAAAGCAATAATAATAAAAGAAAAAAATGAAAAAAATTAGATTTTATGAGGGGCCAGCCCTGTGGCTTAGCGGTTAAGTGCGCGTGCTCCACTACTGGCGGCCCGGGTTCGGATCCCGGGCGCGCACCACCTCACCGCTTGTCTGGCCATGCTGAGGCCGCATCCCACGTACAGCAACTAGAAGGATGTGCAACTATGACGTACAACTATCTACTGGGGCTTCGGGGAAATAGAAGGAGGAGGATTGGCAGTAGATGTTGGCTCAGAGCCGGTCTTCCTCAGCAAAAAGAGGAGGATTAGCATGGATGTTAGCTCAGGGCTGATCTTCCTCACCAAAAAAAAAAAAAAAAAAATTAGATTTTATCATAATTAAGAAGACATTATCATTTATTAAGAAAATGAATAAGAAACCCACAAAATGGGAGAAAATATTCATACAATATAAATCTAGCAAAGGACTCATACCCGTATATGTATATAATTCCTATAACACAATAATAAAAAAAGAAACAACCTAATTAATAAATGAGCAAAATATTTGAACACACAAGGGAAGATACACAAGTGGACCATAAGCACGTGAAAAATTGTTAAATATCATTAGTCAGCAGGGAAATGCAAATTAAAACCATAGGAGATATTATTACACACCCACCAGAATGACTAAAACTAAAAGAACTAATAGTACCAAATGTTGGTATAGATGTAGATGTTGGTGGAAGTGTAAAATGGTACAAAACTTTGCCAAAAGACCTAGCATTTTCTTATAAAACTGACTGTTCACTCACTAAATGAGCCAGCAATTTCAATCCTAGGTATTTACCCCAAAGAAATCAGTATATATATGTCCATAACAACATGTACAAAAATGTACATAGTAACTTTATTCATAATAATAAAAAACTTCACACTACCCCTGTGTCTAATAATACGAGCACGGACAAAGTAGGGTACAGTCATACATGGAATACTCTTCAGTTAATAAATGAAAAGAACTACTGAAACGTGCAACATGGGTGAATTTCAAAAATACCGTCTGGGTGAAAGAAGCCCTATTTAAGAGAGTGAATATCATGCCATTGATGTGAGGTTATAAACCACACAAAACTAATCTATAGTGGAAAAAAGCCAGAGCAGTGGTTGTCTCTGGGAGACGAGATTGGAATTAATTGGGAAAGGTATGGGACACTCTTTAGGGTTTGGGTTGCACAGGTGCATGCATGTGTCAAAACTCAGAGAATGTACATAAAGATTTGTGCATTTCATTGTATACAAATTTTACATCAGAAGAAAAACTCTATTAACATTCTTAAACTGAAGGTAGCAATGCACATTCTTTAGAGGGAAGGGTTCTGATGTTGCAGAATACCTTGGTGAACTGGTGATGGATAGAGGATGGATAGGTGGGTAGATATATGACAACACAAGGGTGTTCACTATAAAATTCTTTGAATTGTGTTGTTGTTTAGGATTTTTCATTAGAAATATTGGAAAAAATTAAGTGTGCTATAGCTATATTCTGTATGAATGGATTATTCTACAGCAATGAAAATGAACAAATGCTGCTACAGGACAAGACGTGGATGAATCTCACAACCTAATGTAGAGGAAAAAAAGGCGTAAAATGATACTCAGTGCATGATTCCATTAATACATAATACAAATGCAGGTCAACTTAATCTTCTGTGTAAGAAATTACGAAATGCTTGTCTTTGGGAAGGAGGAGGTGGTGACTGGGAGGGAGCTGAGGGGGACTTCTGGGGTGCTCATGGTGTTCTGTTTCTTGAGCTGAGTGGTGAATACATTGACATGCTCACTTTGTGAGAATTCAACAAGCCGTCCGTTCATGATTTGTGAATTGTTCTGTAGTATTTAAAATACAATTGCTAAAATTAAAGAAGTATATATCAATATAAGTCCCGATACAAAAAGTTAAGCTTATATCTAGGAATGTAGAATAAAAGGATTAAAAGGAGACTTTAAATACAAAGAAGATCACATAGCAGGGTTGATGTCTACCTAAAAGTGGTTCCAAAGGAGAGAACATAGGAGAAGGAGGAAAGGAAAGGATGCAAGTAAAAATAGAAAAAGAAATTACAAAAAGTTAAGGAAGACATGAACCTGCAGACTGAAAATGCCATAGAGTGCATAGCTACATTAAAGGAAAGACTTAGTGTGAAATATCGATGTGAAATTTTACGTTACCAAGGACAAAGAAAAAATTCTTCCAAAGAGAAAAGGGAAGAGAAAATAAAGACATCCTTTATACAAGAGAAGGAAAATCAGATGGGCATCAGATTTATTTTTAGCAATACTGAATATTGGCTATTAGAAGACAATGGAATAATGTCTTCATGATTTTGCATAAAAAGTATTTTGAACCTCAAATAGCCTACACGTCAAATTTATATAAGGACAAAAACAACAAAAAACAGACATAGAAGGACTTAGAAAGATAACCTCCTATAAACCTTTTGGGGAGGGAGGTAGAAAGAACTACTCAAGGAGATACTCTAGCCAACATAAAAAAATGTTGTAAGAAAGAAGGTAATGAAATCCATAAAATAACAGCATTAACCTAAGAATGCAGTGAAATGGATTCCACGATGATAGCTGAGTGGCAGGTGTTAGACATATTCATCCAAACTGGCCATTCAACCAAGAGTACCGTTAAGAGGCTGGATGATCTTGATGTTAATGGAAATGAAGCCACATATGATTCTTCATTCAACAGGAATAAAATAGTGGAAATTATAAACTTAAAAAAATCACGGTCCAAATAAGCAGAAAACTAAACCAGACATAATTGTAAAGAATTGATTTAGCGTAAGAGAGACAAATGCCTGTTGCCTTGAATACACATGGGTCACCTGCTTGGAGGCATAGGGTTATATCTTCTGCATTCAACTGCATTCATGTTTTATTCGTGGGCAATATTAATTACTTAAGAACTCTAATGCAAAGATTCCATAAATTAAAATCGTATTTGCTTTCATTTCTATGTGCAACACTGTGATGGTTACTTAAGGCTCTTCGAATCATCCATTTAAAACATCAAACACAATTATGTTTAATTTGTAAGAATTACAAAAATTTTATAGAAAGATAAAAGTATTTTATGCAATGTTTTCTAAGCAATTTTTTATACAGTGTATAAAATATTCTTATTAAAATTTTTAAAGGCCTTTGGATTTTGTGAATGACATATTAGCCAGTGCTTAAACTTATTACTTTCAATCTTTAGGCTGAAGTAGTAGGGTATAGTGACCAATGGATGCCTCATAACCTAGGACTTTCTTTTCATTCTTTAAAATGAAATTGAAAAAAGAGAACAATTTTTAAGAAATCTGGCCTCCTTAAAGGAAAAGGATTTGCAGTTGTGCCGGGAAGATTTTGGTTGCTTCACAGCCTGTGAAAGCAGCCCCAGAGTCTGTGCTGTAGCTCCCCACTTAACCCAAGTTTGCGTTAATAAGGAGCTTATCAAATCTTTTCAATCATCCATGAATTTCCTTGAATTTCAATTATTTTACATGTTTGGCTTCTTCTACTATGTCCTTCTTGTTGAATGGTTAGCTGTGATTGTCTCATGACAGAAATTGTCTTTGTTTTGCATAAATTTTCTTTATAGTAAAAAATTTACCTAATAGAAAATAGTTATAATTATTCATTTATAAATCATGAGATTGTTGTACTGATTAATGATAGTAATAACATTAAATGTTGCTTTATGCCAGATACTGTAAGGTTTGTCCCCTTTAATCCTCATAACTACCTAGGAGGGAGGAGCTACTGTAATTATCTCTATTTACAAGATGAGGAAACTAAAGCCTGAGAAATGAATCGACTTGCCAGAGGCCACAAAGCGGAGGAACCAGGATCATAATGTGGAGGGTGTAACTCTGGGGTTTGTTCTCTTAATTGCTCTGTTTCTCTAACTCTTACTGATCCTGCAGTGGATATTTATTTATATAATCATAAAAATTGTAAATGATATTTATTGACTTTAGATTTTCTGAATTGATCTAGACCAAGTATGTCAGACTTAATCATAGTTCAAGATAAAAATGGTAACTTTTTATATCTTGACAATGTCAAGCAATGTTATTAGCTGACAGTCTTAGGAAACGAAAGGATGGAAGAAGTGTGTCGAAAATACAGGAGTGCACTTTCCTGTGTCACAAGGCGAGGAGTCAAGAGATTTTGTGTAAAGTTGGCAAACATAGAGTTTTAGGGGCTGGCCCGGTGGCGCAAGCGGTTAAGTGCGCACGCTCCACTGCAGCGGCCCAGGGTTTGCCAGTTGGGATCCCGGGCGCACACTGACGCACCGCTTGTCAAGCCATGCTGTGGCAGCATCCCATATAAAGTGGAGGAAGATGGGCATGGATGTTAGCCCAGGACCGATCTTTCTCGGCAAAAAGAGGAGGATTGGCATCGGATGTTAACTCAGGGCTGATCTTCCTCACAAAAAAAAAAAAAAAAAACTAACTATAAATATAACAATAGATTAAATTAAGTTAAAAATAACTAAAGAAAAAATGTGAAGAGGATGAGGGAATAGTATAACTAAGATCCTTATCTTTATAGTGGGAAGAAAATACTCAATATCAGTAACTGAATAAATAGAAATGCAAGCGTATTATTTAGGTTTCTGGAGGTGACCATGAGAATTCAAATAGAAACTGTCAAGAGGCTACCTTGGAACATTGCAGCTGGGGTGGAGGTGAAGAACGAGGAGAGAGTTTGTATGTTCCATTGTTTACTTTCTGTGCTGTTTGAATTATTTCCATTTGAAGTATTACTTGTATAATACATACTTGTATATCATAAAAGTTATGAGTAAAAAGATCAGACATAGTCACATTTGGTTATATATTTTAAAAAAAATATACCAATGCGTAGGAAAGCATGTCTTATTGATGTTGTCCATTACTTTTTATGTTTCTGTTATAGGACAGAACCATGAGCCAGGGTTTGCCGTATCATATCTACTCCTTTTTGAGACTCTTGCCCTTTTGGGTACTGTGTGCATCCTCTACCAACAGATGTGCTGTTAGACATGAAGTGGCTGACTGCAGTCATCTGAAGTTGACTCAAATACCCGACGACCTCCCGGCAAACATAACAGTGTTGAATCTCACCCATAATCAACTCAGGAGATTGCCACCTGCTAATTTTACAAGATATAGCCAACTTACTATCTTGGATGGAGGATTTAACACCATCTCAAAACTGGAGCCAGAATTGTGCCAAAAACTGCCCTTGTTGGAAATTTTGAACCTCCAACACAATGAGCTATCTCAACTTTCTGATAAAACCTTTGTCTTCTGCACGAATTTGACTGAACTCCATCTAAGATCCAACTCAATCCAGAAAATTCAAAATAATCCCTTTAAAAATCTGAAGGTAAGGTGAGAATATTCATTTTTGTATAAGAAATCAAAAATGGTATATAATGTTAAGTTTTCAAGTCACTTATTCATCCTTACACTTAATCTCTGAAAATCAAGGTGAAGAATAAGAAATCTGATCTACCCAAAAGGGGGGGGGACCCCACACACAAATATTGCCATTATGATTGGAAATGTTTTCGAAAGAGAAAATGCCATTTTAAATCAATTTCAACCTTAAGTCAATTTCTGCCTCTCTTGCTTCCTCCCATTAGGAATAGAACTTAGACACACGAGGTAGAAATCAGGGAGGAATCTTATCTGTGATGATCAGAGAAGAATCAGAATATCCCATGAGGAACACGGCAAATAAACCCTCAGTGCTGCTGATGTAGCACCTGAAGTAATGAAAAAAATGTCGAATCCAAATTCTGACTTAAGTAAAGTTAACAAGTTGATACATGATAAAGCAAATTGTTTAACTAAAAATTACCTACTCTTGATTTAAACCATCTCCTCACAATACTGCTTTTCCAATGGGTACCACCTTTCTCTTTTCAAAATTTGAAATTTGAATTTCAAATCTGTGAATAATGTATGTTATTGTTTCTAAATCTGAGACAATTATTAAGTGCTTTTCTTAAACCAAAGCCATTTTCAAAACCTTTATTTTTTTCATTTTATGGACTTATAAAAAACTAAGCATTCTTTGACCTCAGATGCCAAGAATAACGTAAAATTTAAATATGCTTAGAAACAGTTATAAAATGGTTTGCTTGCTAGGGATTTGAAATTCTTTCTTGTGCCTTCTTAGATTCTGATGTGAATGAAATATCTTTGCACACAAAGACTTCAAAATCTGGTTAGAGTAATCATTGGCAAAATGTTATTTTTATTTTTAAAACATAAATAACAGTCTTGCTCTCTTTAATAGACATAAGATTTTGCCCTAACATATATCATCTTTTCCTTACCTTTTACCTGAGTGGAAGTTCACATGTTCAAAAGTAGCAGGGGGGATAAGATACGCCACAGCACTGAAAAAACAAAGAAAAATTAATATTCTGTACTAGCCATGATGCAAAATTTACATAATTATCAATCTTTCTCAATATAAAAATCTTTTTAGGATTTCATGGGCAGCAAAGATCTACTCATGCTTTTTTAAGAAAACAGTTTTTCTTCTTTTTTTCTGTTGTTTAGTTACAAGGCTGTTACATGACACTATATGTTGATAAGCCACATGAATATTCCTTATATCATTATAATGCTTATTATAAATAAATGAGTAAATAAATAAATGCTTCTTATGAATATTTCTTATATCACAAATAAATAAAGTCCTTTTACTTTGGTAAGAGAAATAAAGTGATTCTTGAAGTAAGAAACTAAATTCTTGCAACAATGGTATTTTCAATCACAAGAAAGATTTTTTATTATTCCTACTGTCTGTTTTCTGTAGAATAACAGAGAGGACATTTCACTGTTGAGTTATTTCTAAGATTCATGCACATTTAGAGAAACTATTTTTGGTGGCAAGACTCTAACATATATTTTTTTTTCTCTCAGAAATTAATCAAATTAGATCTATCTCATAATGGTTTATCATCTACGAAATTAGGAACTCAGCTCCAACTGGAAAATCTCCAAGAGCTTCTATTATCAAATAATAAAATTCAGGCACTAAGACGTGAAGAACTTGATTTCCTTGGCAATTCTTCTTTAAAAAAGTTAGAGTTGTCATCAAATCAAATTAAAGAGGTAAGAAGTAAGGTAAAACTATTTTGTGTTCTGCTTTTTTAAGTGTGGGCTGTTCCTAATTGTGTCACGTGGGTAAGAATCTAAAGATCTGTAGAGAAAGAAGTGATAACCTTTGCCAAGTCTTCCAGAATTCTTCACATTTATTGCTTGGGGTCATTGAAGTCTTCCTCACAAGGAAAGGAGTTGGGTGACAATTAGGAGCTGGGACTCTGCCGTCAAACAGAAGTGGCTTAAAATCCCCATTCCATTACAAACTAGTACTTTGACCTTGGGGAACTCGCTTAACCTCTCTGGGTCTTAGTTTCTTCACTTGTAAAGTGGAAATAATACCATGTATCTCACAAAGTCTGTGAAATAATTAAAATAGCATGATGGTTAAGAGCGTAGGCTTTCAAGTTGTGTTAGCTGGCTCCCTATCTGGGATTTCTCTCTTAATAATTGTATGATCAGGCAAATTATTCAAGTTCTGTCTGCTCCAGTTCCCCAGTTTTAAAATTGGCCTAATAATAGCACTATTTCATAGGGCTGGATGGGAAAGAATTCAGCACAGTGTCTTCTGTATAGTAAGTGCTCCATAAATGATAACTAGCATTCAACTTTATAAAAACCGTCCGATAATGGAGTATACCTAGCTAATCTTCTCTTTTTGCATCCATGATCTTCAATTTGTTAACTACGTTTGTACACAGCTATGTCTGTATTTTATTCCTTTACAGGCTGTGAATAAGAATGTTGGAAATTATAAACAAAAATCAGATTTTTTAAAGCTGTATTAATTTTCAGACATAAAAATAGACTGTGTACAAAATTATCCTGAGAGAGTAATTAAATATTTTATGCAAGCTACTCAAGTTAATTTTTGAATAGCATTATTTTCTGTTTAGAATACTTATTGGAGAAATCTTATAAAATGTATAAGTAATGAGAGGGAAAATAAAAATCATCCAAAAGCCCACAATCCAGAGATAACCAATGTTAGCATTTGGGTATGTTTATCTCCAGCTTTTCTCCAAGTAATAAGAGAAAACAACAGCAACTGAGATTCATAAAGCACTTAACTGTGTGTCAGGCACTGTGACAAGTTCTTTTTTAATATTTTTTAATATGGTCCTATAATATATATAGTCCACCTTGTTCTTATCATTTTACACAAGAGTAAACTGAGATGAAGAAAGATTATGGAACTTGTCCAGGGTCTCACAGTGACCAGCTGGTGACAGAGCTGGATTTCTGACAGTGTTAGATCAAGGCCCATGCTCTTAACAGCTGTGCTATATTGCCTCTCTGAGGATGACAGTGTATCCTGTCATTTAAAAGTAACACCGTATCATGAACATCCTCCATGCCATGAAGAATTATTCAAAAACTTAATTTCAGTGACTGCAAAGTAATCTTATTATGTAGATTTACCATCATTAATTTAATAATTTCCTGCTTTGTATTTTGACTGACTTTACTTACGCTAAAGCACACTTCCTTCCACATTTCTTTCCTTTCTTCCATTAGCCCTAACATCTCCCATATGACACGGTAGAAATCTGAGCCTCTTTGCTCTCCTGGTGGATTTAACTGCCAGGGACTGCCTACTGTCATGTTAATTGCTTCTCTCTTGCCTTCTGTTCTCTTTTTCCAGTGCTGAACCCCAGAGCAGCCAAGGCTCCTGGTGAGGGAATGGGGGCAGAGTGGAAGGGAGCTGGAGATGCTGTAATGAAATCAAGTCAGGAGAAAACCTTGGTGGCAAGACAGGTGATCTCTGAACTCAGAGTTACAGAACAGTGGTCACTGAGACAGAAATGAGATCTGCTCCAATGGTGACTTTATAGTTTATGAATTCCAATTATACTCAGTGTGATGAAGGAAAAGTACCAGGAGACTTAACCTAGACTGGGAGGTCAGGGAAGGCCCGCTGAAGAAGTGGCATCTCAGCTGAGATGTGAATGCTGGGTGGAAGTTAACCAGTGGCCAGGGGAGGTAAGGGGCTAGAGCAGGAGGTGGGTGTTACAGGCACAGAGTAAGGAGCTGTGCATTAGAGGGATGGAGAGAAGACCCAGAGAGGTGGTAAAAGAGGAAGAAGGATTGGGTAAAGAATTGTGTTTAAGCTTTTCAAAGGTTGTACAGACTCTGTTGTGTTTTGGTTATTAACCTCTCTTTTTTTCCCTCCACCTTCAGTTCTCTCCAGGGTGTTTTCATGCAATTGGAAAATTATTTGGCCTCACTCTGAACAATGTCCAACTGGGCCCCAGTCTCACACGGAAGCTTTGCTTGGAATTATCAAACACAAGCATTCAGAATCTTTCCCTGAGCAACACCCAGCTAAATATAACAAGCAATATGACTTTCATTGGACTAAAGCAGACAAATCTCACCATGCTGGATCTTTCCCATAACAGCTTAAATGTGATTGGTAAGGATTCCTTTGCTTGGCTTCCACATCTAGAATATTTCTTCCTGGAGTATAATAATATACAGCATTTGTATTCTCACTCCTTTTATGGGCTTTTCAATGTGAGACACCTGAATTTGAGACGATCTTTTACTAAACAAAGCAATGCCCTTGCTTCGCTTCCCAAGATTGACGATTTTTCCTTTCAGTGGCTAAAATGTTTGGAGTATCTTAACATGGAAGATAACAACTTTCCAGGCATAAAAAACAATATGTTCACAGGACTGGTAAAACTGAAATACTTAAGTCTATCCAACTCCTTCTCAAGTTTGCGGACTTTAACAAATGAAACATTTCTGTCACTTGCTCATTCTCCGCTACGAATACTCAACCTAACCAAAAATAAAATCTCAAAAATAGAAAGTGGTGCTTTTTCTTGGTTGGGTCTCCTAAAGATACTTGACCTTGGCCTCAACGAAATTGGGCAAGAAATCACAGGTCAGGAATGGAGAGGTCTAGAAAATATTGTTGAAATCTACCTGTCCTACAACAAATACCTACAACTGACTAGCAACTCTTTTGCCTTGGTTCCAAGCCTTCAACAACTGATGCTCCGAAGGGTGGCCCTTAAAAATGTGGATAGCTCCCCTTCACCTTTTCGCCCTCTTCGTAACTTGACCATCCTGGATCTAAGCAACAACAACATAGCCAACATAAATGATGAACTGTTGGAAGGTCTTGAGAAACTAGAAATTCTGGATTTGCAGCATAACAACTTAGCACGGCTCTGGAAACATGCAAACCCTGGTGGTCCTGTTCATTTTCTAAAGGGTCTTTCTCACCTCCACATTCTTAACTTAGAGTCCAATGGCTTTGATGAGATCCCAGCAGAGGCCTTCAAGAACTTATTTGAATTAAAGAGCATCATTTTAGGACTGAATAATTTAAACATGCTTCCACCATCTGTCTTTGATAATCAGGTGTCTCTAAAGTCATTGAGCCTTCAGAAGAATCTCATAACATCAGTTGAGAAGAATGTTTTTGGGCCAGCTTTCAAGAACCTGAGTAACTTAGATATGAGCTTTAATCCATTTGATTGTACATGTGAAAGCATTGCCTGGTTTGTTAATTGGATTAATGGTACCCATACCAACATCTCTGAGCTATCAAACCATTATCTTTGCAATACTCCTCCTCATTATCATGGCTTCCCAGTGATGCTTTTTGATACATCATCCTGCAAAGACAGTGCCCCCTTTGAACTTCTTTTCATGATAAATACCAGTATCCTATTGTTCTTTATCTTTATCGTACTGCTCATCCATTTTGAAGGTTGGAGGATATCTTTTTATTGGAACGTTTCGGTGCATCGAGTTCTTGGTTTCAAAGAAATAGACAGACAGCCAGAGCAGTTTGAATATGCAGCGTATATAATACATGCCTATAAAGATAGGGATTGGGTCTGGGAACACTTCTTGCCAATGGAAGAAGAAGATCAAACTCTCAGATTTTGTCTGGAAGAAAGGGATTTTCAGGCAGGTGTCCTTGAACTTGAAGCAATTATTAACAGCATCCAAAGGAGCAGAAAAATTATTTTTGTTGTAACACATCATCTATTAAAAGATCCATTATGTAAAAGGTAGGTGAACACTGTGACATTTTAAGTGTGTACTTGTTTTTCAATGGAGCTTTTAAATATTACTAACATTATTACTCATGACTCAAAGAATTTTAAAAATAAAATTAAAAAAAACCAATCTGACTTTTAGTTACAGATTAAAGTAAATTCTAAGGGGAATTTTAGGTTTTAGAGCTTCTGGCTTTTAAAAGTTGTCTATTGATATATAACTTAATTCAATAATTTTTTTAAATTAGATTCAAGGTACACCATGCAGTTCAGCAAGCTATTGAACAAAACCTGGATTCCATTATATTGATCTTTCTTGAGAAGATTCCAGACTATAAACTGAACCACGCCCTCTGTTTGCGAAGAGGAATGTTTAAATCTCACTGCATCTTGAACTGGCCAGTTCAGAAAGAACGGATAAATGCCTTTCATCATAAATTGCAGGTAGCCCTTGGATCCAGAAATTCAGTACATTAAATTTATTTAAAGACTAAATTAACAAAGGAGTAACTTTCTCAATTTATAAAGTTCCATGGTAAATTTAAGTTTTATTTGAAAATAATGTAAATCTGTTTATTCATATTTATAGGTGAGAATATTATATCACAATTATATCTCTTCTATGGAAACATGTCTCCCTACTTTAGGCCTTTCATTATCGATTAACTTAATTTGACCCCGAATAAACATATAAGAATATCCTGTACTAACGAATATACAATTGGTTACTGAGGCTTATGAAAACTTAAGAATATTTTTAAATATTCTTCATTTAAAGAAAAGTTCAAATTATATGAGGATTTGTGATAATTATATTTGGGCTTTTTTGGATGCATTCATAATAGAATAAAAGATAATTGTTTTAAGAGGTACAATGCTATTTCAGTTGTAAAAGAGTAAAATATATATCCACATTTTTAAAAGTTTAATTACAGTATTTTTTTAATTGAAAAACTTTGTATTTTTGTGGTGCCTATCCAGCGTTGATTTCTTAAGTGTTAAATATCATTTTAATATACATACTCAAGGGCAGAAAACATTTGCCATTCATTTTTATTACTTAATAAAATAAATATTTTAATAAATCCTTACTTATGTTTTCCTGATATTTGGATTTCTGCTATAGGAGGTATTAGAAGAAACAATTCTCTTATTGAAAAGTATTGCAGATAGGTTTGCTTCCTGAAGGTTAATTAATAGATTGGCTTTGTGGAAACAAAAAGTTGTCTTCCCCTGGTCACTGACTCAGGAGATGGCCCTGGCCAAATCACTTGGTCCCACTGGGATTCTTTGACTCCTGATCTTGAAAATTATGATGATAAACAAAATCTTAACTATTCTCGTGTAATTAGTGATGATGATCACGGTATAATACATTCACATGGAATATATTATTGTGCCATAAAATAGTATACTGTGTGTAAGTTATTCCTTATCTAGGAAGACTATTGGGGGCTGGCCTGGTGGCATAGTGGTTGAGTTTGCACACTCTGCTTCAGCAGCCTGGGGGTTGTGGGTTCGGATCCTGGGTGCGGACCTACACACCGCTCATCAAGCCATGCTGTGGTGACATCCCATGTACAAAATAGAGGAGGATGGGCACAGATGTTAGCCCAGGGCCAATCTTCCTCAGCAAAAGCAGGAGGATTGGCAGCAGACATTAGCTCAGAGCCAATCTTCCTCACCAAACAAACAAACAAAAGGCTTATCTAGGAAGACTATTATTTTAAGTTTTATTTTTGTTTTACAATAAAAAGAGTCTAATTGAAATAGACATGAATAGCTTTTTTAAACCCTTATATTCAAATATAAGAGAAAGTTAAAATTATAATACTGAGTTAATTTCTGTACTCGAGGGGCTCATTTGCTGAATTTAGAGAGCATTTGAGATGTCACATTTGGGAACTTTGATTTAAATAGTTCAGTATTCTCAGGGCTAAGTTCACACAATCCTGGAAGAAGTAATACCCACTGTACTGCTGGTTCTGAGTGTCTCCAGTCTCCCAACATTGTGAGTGTATGGAGGACTCCTTTTCCCTTTCACATTGTACACCACCCTTACAGATGAGACACTTGTCTTTTCTGTTAAGACACAGTGTTTCCATTAAGATTCATTTTCTAACTGTGAAATAATCCTGTTTTATTTTGGTATCATAAAATAAAAATCACGACTACTTTTTTTCTTGATTCACTTTGTATATTATCTCTCTATCAATATTCTCAACTGGCTTAAAATATTTCTAAATCAATTATTATTATGAATTAATATATATGATCAATTTGTGAAAAGCAGGGCAGGAAGTAATTTTGCTTTCATTCTCTTGCTTATTTGCGTATGAGATAGTTGATCCAATGGCCACAATTTAAATTGAGTCCAAATGTAATTTTTTAAAAGTTGCTTAATATTTAAAAGGTTAGGATACACAAGAGATGACCTGTTTATTTGAATATAAGTAAAACTAATAAAAGGTGTAAGCCTTGACTTGTGGTTGACTTACACTGGAAGCAATATTCTGAACTTCTGCGAGCTGTCCTTTATAATTGTTCTCAGGAGGAGGCCTTCTCCCTTGGGTTCAAGACAAGGGGGGGGCAGAAAAGGGTGCCTGTCTGACCTATTTAATCTCCGCAGGTGAGCTGACTTGCTTGACTGCTCTCACGGTGCCATCATGTCATGTGTTCACTCCAAGTTCTTCTTCCTGTTTCTCACTTTCAAAACAAGTCCCAGCTGAATCAGCAATATTGAGTTTAAAATAAATCTAGGTATTTAGATTCTACCCAAAAATGACACCTTTTAGATTGTAATAAGAAGTAGATACAATTTGTTAATGAGGAGGGGGTTTTCAATGCCATTTATTTAACAATGTTTAATTCTTCAAATGTCTACCTTAGATTATTTGTAAAAGGGACTTGTTAGTAAGTGATGGTGACCATTAGAAAATGTAAAGATGCTCCAGGTCAAGAGCTTAAAAAATACTTCTTGCAATTTACAGAGACAGAAAGTAGATTAGTGTTTGTCTGGACCTAGGGTCGGGGGAAAAGAGGAATAACTGCAAAGGAGCAGGAGAGATCTTTTTGGGGTGAGGAAAATATTCCAAAATTGGATTGTGGTAATGATTGCACAACTATGTAAGTTTACTAAAAATTATTGCATCATACACTTAAAACAGGTGAATTTTATGGCATATAAATTATATATTAATAACGCTGTTGAAAAATATATTAATTGAGCATCTATATGGGCCTAGCCCTGTGCAAAACACTGTGGGGTACAAAGGATATGAGATACATTGCAGAAAATGGGGCAATAGAAAATTGCCCCATAGGAATTAGGGTAGGAAGGGATTATCAAAGATGGACCTAGACAGGGAAGGTTCCACGGAAGAGGATCAGACCTTTCAAAAGTGGGTAGGATTTTGATGAGTGAGGAGGAAGACGGCAGAATGAATATTAAGATGGAAGGTAGGGAGGGAGACATGAGCTCCGTGTTGGGAGACAGCAGAGATGCTGCAGAGGATGGAACCATGTTGCAGAAAGCATGGCAGAGGAGTTAAGATTTAAGGAGTTAGGTATTTTGAAATTGTAACTTTATGAGTTTCAATTGGCAAAACTAGAAATTATAATAAAATTCCCTCCCATGATCTATGACTTAGATTTATGTGACAACTAGTTGAATAGAGGAGCTTAACTTATAACTTCACAGTCCAAATAGCCAGGCTCACTCTCACATAACAGAAGGGGATTTGAAGCACTTATTTTTCCTATAAACACAGAAACCTGTATTACAATAACAAAGCATGACAATTAATTTATCATTAGTTACTAATTACATTAGGTGATATGTTAGCCATTCTTAGCTCTTGCAACTCTCTAGCCTTGATCCACCTTCCTGTCCAACGGAGAAACTGGTTCTGTCATGTGATGTTCCCCCCCTCCAGTTTAATAAATAATCCATTGTATACATTGGGCAGGAGTCATGGGACTTTTCCATGATGGCGCTTTTCTAGTTCTACGTGAGAATTTCTGAGCAGCCAGTTTTGAATTCTTAACTCTCCTTTATCTTAAGTCAGTTCCGTAGGAAACAGACACCCAGAGGGAGCCATACGTGCAACAGGTCTGGGGGAGTGCTCTGTTTTACAAGGGAGTGAAATAAACTGTATTGAGAAGGGAGAGAATGATGAACTATGGTGCAATTGCAATGGTAACCGAGGCCTTAGCAGACCCCATGGGGAGCTCTGGAGCTGGAGTGGCACTACAGAGTTGACACAAAGGGGCTGGACCACTGTCCCCTCACATCAAGCAGTCATTGGATGTAGGCAGTCCCAGGGAGGAAGTGTGACCTGGAGCAAAAAGCTTTGCCCAAGAACAATTCCAAAGTAAGGGCTCAGTTGTAAACCATCAGGAGCTAACACTCTGGGCAACTGGAAGTGTAGGTGCTGGGTCCTGAAGGGGAAATCTCAGCAGTTCACTACAGCATCCACTACACCTTCTAAGATATTTAAGAATTAAAATAGCCATAGATTAGTTGGTTTCTTTAAGCTCTTCTGCAAGCTTCCAACCATTTTATTTTTTTAAATAAATTCTCTTCCAGAAATTCTGGAAAACAAATGACTTCATAGGAAGCCAACATTTTTTTTTAAACAAGTATGCTTTAATAGTCAATGTCTTCCAGTCAAAGGCCACCAGGAACACTTTTGCAGTTGAACAAGTTGGGTTTATTACTCATTGCAGTGAAGGAGGAGACACACCTGAGAAACTGTGGGGTTTCTCAGTACGAAGGTGCTTTAAAGAACCTATTATACAGATTTGGGCTTTCTTTGGGTGATGTGAGAGCCTTAGGAGAGCCTTCATTCTAAATTTTATGCTGTCATAAAGGGGGAAATTTTATGATTGGGTATCTCAATAAATCTTATCTATAGAGAGAGGAGACTAGATCAAGGATAAAGTTGGTTATCACTAAAAAAATAGCAGTCACTTAGGAGAGGAGTGTTCATGGTATTTTGAGAGTGGCACAATGACCTTATTTTTGTCTATACTCAGACGCAATTGTGAAGTGGTCACGCTTTGTCTCATTTTACCGTGTCAGAGCAACCTTGTCTGAGGTTGGTATTCTGTGAGATTGTCTGTGCCCAGTGAGAGAATAACGCGGTCTAGCTGTGAGTGCCAGGCTGGCTTCCAGATGTCAGGGGCTGCTCTTGTTTTCTTTCTCAGCAGCTTTCACACAGGTATCTTTTTGGCTCTTTGGAGAGATATCTTTTTGTTTTAGTGAGCACTTGGTTGCAAGTGACAGAAACTCAATGTAGTTTAGGCAAAAAGGGAGAACGTTTGTGGGAAATTGGGGAAATTGGGAAGAGGGCAGGGATATAACTAGCTCTCACAGAGAACTAGAACCAGGGGCTCAAATGCCACCATAGCTCGCGTCTACTCCTCTCTCTGTGCTGGCGGCATTGGTTTGTACTGCTGGAAGCATGGGTGCCCAGGATCTCTTAGGCTCCCGTTCAACCTCAACAAGGAACTGTCTTGTCCTAGTCTCGATGTCTAAAACTTCAGGAAAGTTCTCTGATTGGCCTATCTTGGGGAATATGTCCATGCTTGTGGCCTTAGTGGTAGAGTCCTGTGGTTGCCCACTAGAACCATGTGGATAGAATGTTCTTTCCCAAGCCACTATATGAGACATGTGGAACTAGTTTACTTGACGAGCTGGCCTCAATAAGATACAAGCAGGAATCTGTGTTATTCTTTCTGCCTCTCAAAGCTCAT